CATAGTGCTTGGAAAAGTGGCTGGAGGGACAGGTCCAGAAACGGATGGCCTAACGGCACACGTAGGTGCACCCTGTGCTTCCTCGCAACGCTCCATCCAACACATCCGAACTTGTAAAAAGCACCAGACAAACTACTATTTGTGCACTTTTTGCTTTGGCTTCTCAGTTAGGGATATCCAAAAAGAGCCTGCAAAAAATTCCGCAGTTCCAGAATTGCCCTGGAAATTGGACTGTCAGCAAGAAGGCATCATTTAATAAAACACTGAGGGTGAGTAAAGAATGAGCCAGAGGAGAGAAGGAAAAGGATCAGGAGGGCTGTCACCATGCTCCAGCTTCAAACCCTTCTTTTGCAGAACCGATCGGGGTTCTGGAGCAAAACTCGCTGAAGAGGAGCCCTTTGCTTCCTCTGCTCACCCCCAGCCTCAAAGGGCTGGCTTGTACCCCAGTAAAACATGGGCTTTGTGAGCATGAGGTTGAGTATGAAAAGACTTAGGGATCTTTTAAAGCTGCTAAACTTTCCACCACAGGAGTTTAGGTTTGCAAGTCACTTAACACTTTCAAAAAGTGTCACTGCACACATTTTAGTCAAAGTATGCATTGGAACTAACAAAATAACACGTCTGTCTAAATGTGGAATTCTGTTGGGATTCTAGTGTCAGCCTTAACACCAAATAAACATTATTATGAAAGGCTGGCTGTTATTTGTTTCAACCTTTACCCCCAAATAAGCAACATCAGTAGTTTATGAGGATTACAAAAAATATGTTTCAGGAAGTACTACCGCATTGTAAGTGATTGTTGATACTGCTATTTTTATCTCTGTCCCTTTTCTCCTATGTAACACTTCATAGAAAATGTGATTGATTTTCCATCAAATTTATTGCCTTGATACTTAGCTGTTTGTATAAAATGATTTTATTGATATGGCCATTGGCCAGTGTATGTAAAAAATCTAGTTTATAATAGTTTTAATGAAAATTTGTGACACTCGTAAGTTAACTATGCAAGAACCGTTTACTTTTCATTTTACGGGCATGGATCATATTCAGTTAATCAACTCCTGCTTGGAGTCTGCAGTGGAAGAAGCCGCGGCAAGGAAACAGCAGATGTGCACTACTTATATTAGACTGATCATCTGAATGGCACATTAAGAATAAAATATCACCAAAGTTCTTGCCTTTCCCCATATTAACACTCACCCTAAAGCTGTGTTTCCCAAGACACTTTTCCTTCTGCAGAACTTTTCATGAAGGAAACCTCAGGAGATTAATGAATTTATGCATTAAAGTATGGACCTATTAAGCTATTTTCACTAGGCCCTCCAGATATTTTTCTTTTGAGCTTTCAACAGGACACAATTGAGCCCAACTCTGATCCTCAGAACACAATTTAAGACAAACTGTTGTCAGAAAAGGGCATAGCAACAGCTAATGCGTGTTTTGTAGTAATGGAGAAATGTACTTCTAAAGAAACATCTAAAAACCCCCACTTATTGTCCATCATCACTATGGAAATTTTAGCCTTGTCATCATCAACATTAACTTCAATGTTCATCTACATTTCCTCTATAAATCCTTTAACAAAAAGGGGTAGGAAAGAAAAAACAGAATTTAGCCATCGTGTGGTTTGCCTTGTTTCCAAATATTGGTACGCTGTATCAGGATGCTCAATCACTGTGCTGTCTTTCTGGTAAGAACAGTGAATTACAGCCTAACAGAGAGCCTGTGCTCAATCTTCAGGCAACCCTGGTAGCGCTCAGTTGTGAATGCTGAGCTCTTAACGCACCCCTCTACATGGAGACAGACTTTGAGCTCTAAGAAGGAACCTCTCATTAGGATCACTAATGAAGTGGAACTCTTTTTTTCCTTTTTTATTCACCAGAATTCAGATCTCACACATTAGGCACAAATTTAGAATGAAAATTCATTAGAAATGAGATGTGTATAATGTATGTGCACTTTTTGCTGTTTCTGAAATGGAAATTTCTTTTATCTGAATCAAGACACAGAATTTGGTTAGGAATAATTAAGACATTTTGGACTAATCCTTTGTATTTAAAAATACCTAGTTGCTCATGCAGTCTCTCTAAGGGCGCATGCATAGAGCAAAGTTGTCGTAGATTAGATCAGTAATGATCTAAAGCATTTTTGCACAAATTGAAGTTCTAAAGCTTTGTCAGATTTCACAAACGCAGCTTGCATGCACAGTCTATTCATACTGGTCATTTGTTTGGAAAGACAATATTTAGAATATGAAAAGATCATTCACTGTTCATAAAATACATTATTCCTGAGGACAGTGTGTGCCTTATACTTCAGTAAAATAACGTGCAGTCAAATGCAAACAGCATACTAAACGAAGTCTAGCAAAAAGTTTACTCGGCTTAAGCAAATGGGTAGATAATGGAAAAACCTTTAGACATTGTTCATGTCCTCCAAAAAGAAAGGAACACACAGAGTGTTTCTCCAAAACTTCTTGTGCTTTTCCAGTGTGTAAAATGCACAATGTCAGATCTACATACTTGCCTTTGATATACTCCTATACATCAGTGTTGAAAATCTTTAATAATATATATATTTAAATCTCAAATACAAAAAGGTTTTCTTTCATATGTGTTTCTGAAGTCCAATTGGAATTTGCCTAAGTATGTATCGACATGTGCTAATATCCACAGCAGAAACAGGAAAGCATAAAACAATCAACCAATATTTCTGATTTTTGCCTAATTTTATCCTGTATCTTTATACCTTGGGCCAGCCAAGGCATTTTGTTTTTAGAGAAAACATTAAAAAGAGAGCTCATCTGTGACCTTCTGAAGAACTGAAGTACTATCACTATGTGGCACAGAAACAGAAGCTGTGACACGCAGTTAATGCTGTTAAACAGTGCTTGACAATCCACAGAAGGAGAGACAATAAATTAAATCAAACTTTGTGATTCTAGAAGCACTGAGGAGAGTGCATTAATTTTTTCTGGTAAGGACTCCTGAGGAACTTAACGCACAACCCAGAATATGAAGGAACAAAACAACCTTTCCAAAATATGGGAGGCTGAGTTCCACCAGCCCTTTATCACAGAACTAATGGGTAACATATCGGATTAGACCATACCTTCCAATTTCTTTCCTTCTTTGTGTGATACTGTAGATACTCCTATAGTTGCCTTGTCTGGTCACAGAGAGCTGGAATTAACCAAGAAATCTCATGAATATGGTGAAACGACTACAGAATTAAGGTCTGATGCTAGGCCCCCTGGATACATTAGATCCTACTCATCCACTTTCATGGGCTCTTGACTCTTAACATTAATTTCATATGGCACAGTAAAATAAAATGATTGTGCTAATACATGCAAGTGAATACTGGAATCACACTTTTTGGGTACTGTAAGTAGTAAAAATTCAGGTCTTTTCATATTTGTCAGCAGTGATTTTGCTGCAGCTTTATCCCTAAAAAGAATGTTAAAATTTGCAGCCTTTAGAATTACTGTGCTTTGTTGACTGTTCAGTTTTTAAATTCTTCTCATCCGATATAGAGGAGCATTATTTAAAATTGTACAAGAGAAACGGTATGATTGTAACTCGGTTTCTCCACTCCCTTTTCTGCAACTGAACCCTGCACAATTGTTTAAATTAAGTGCTTATCTTTTCCCACATTAAGAAATGTTAGTAATAGACAATTTCATCACCCAAATGTGACTATAACCCTAAGCAACACCGACATATGCTGTATGCACATAAGAACTGAAATTTGATGCTTTACATGAACATCTACCTTTTATAGTGCTTTTATCCAAAAAGCCCCCCCAAACTGTAAGAAGGCATACAAACAATAATAAAAAAAATTTAAAAGTAACCACTGTATGTGTGTGCATTTATATACAATCTGTATACATATCTGCCTGCATCTAATTCCCATGCTTTGACTTATTTAGGCCAATAAAAGAAGTGCACATTACTGGAACATTTACTATTACAATAAGAAGAGCATTGTTATAAAGTGCTCTGCTTCTCCTTCCCTGAACAAGCAAGTCACAATGTTATACTGTGTGTCTGATATATATCTGCATAAGCTTGCATACTATAAAGAGTTAATTGTATATTCAGGACGAAGTCATTCGCACTGTGTAAGAATATTTCAAGTTAGCATTTTGTGAAGTCATGGAATCATTGCCCAGACAGGTCAAAAGGAACAGTAACACAGACATCTGCATGCTACGTCAGAGCATGAAAATGACAGTTCTTTCATCCTAGAAGCGTGTGGAGGTGGCCTTTCTGCACACGAAAGCGGAAAGACAACTCAACAGCCATGTCATTTTCAAATACAGCTGCAATGTGGGCAATGCGATACGTTCTCTTAGTGCTGCTGTTTTCTCTTTGAATTTAGAATTTTTGGTTTTCAACTAGAAGGATAAATTAATGACACTGATGTGCAAATCTTAAACTGCATAGTATATATTAAGCAGCCATAGACCCCTTTTTTTAGGGTAGGACCACATCCACAATCTCAACAAGAGACTAGGAAAAAACCTGACAAAACAGTAAGCCTGAAAGATCATTTACATCAAGTTATGGCCACAAAGGCAACAATTGCTCTTTTCTTCAGAGGCATTACAGATGGAGCTGAGCAATAAGAAGCTGTAGAAGTAGTGGATATCATGTAAGTTGGTCTTAGTCATGCCCTTACTGTATAAGTTCACAGGTAATTTTTTATTTTCATTGCACTGTTAGTATCTTCATGAACAGCATGAAAATTCATTGCCTTTTTTAAACCAGAATGTCCAAATTTTTAATCTGTCTGTGCATTCCTGAGTGCCAATTCTCCTTGGTGCTCACCACAGACCAGTACCAGGTAAGGCTCTTCATTTTCTTCATCAGAAGCATCTATCTTCCAGTTCCCACCAAAGCCTGCAACTGTACTGCCCAGCAAGAACATATATACACCACGAATCTCACATACTCATGCCACGCTCTGACTTCATTTTGTAACTGCACTCTTCAGTTTCCAAACAGTGTTTTTGTTGCAGCATGGTAGTGACTAAGGCCATTCATGGTGATACTGTTTCCCATTCTTTTTCCTTTCTTTCTGCAAATGCTCCAGTTCAGCCTCATACATCATTTCCTGGACTAAGTATTTCTCTCTCCTCATTCTGTCGCACAAGTCTTTGGGCATGTCTGGAATCAGGTAGGCAATGAAAGACTTTATTCCAAAAACAAGGTGCTGAAAGGAAGAACAAACATAATTGCTTCAAAGGTACGTAAATATTCATTTCTGGGACCACATTTTAAAGCCTAAAAGTCTGTGGCAAAACTGGAACTGAGATTCTACTCATGACTGAAAAGCAACTCCTTTGTTTTTTAATCTACACACATACACACACACACACATAGAGGAGTAAATGACCGGTCTATCAGAAACCTGAAAGTGCTGAAGTCTTCTGAAAAGTAAAACTAAGTGTATAGCTAGTGACCCAAATTAAGATGTGACTGCAGGATAGGCTAGTTTGATTAATGATAGCAAACGCTACCTACAAGCTGTCTTTGTTAAGAGCTTGTAATCGAAGTGAGTATCCAGACTCCTGGACAGCATGTAATACGTTCTTCAAGGTCTGTAGGCACCTCTCTACTTTTATATTAGGCTACTATCATGTATCATTTTCCTGACACACATTTTAACTTGTTATAACTGTGCTTAATGTACACATAAGTTGCATTTCTTCTCTTTCAATAAAACATGAAAGATCTGGTTGTGAACCAACGTGATTTATAAGACAACTGTTAAGGAAATATGATTTTGTAGGAACTCTAAAATCTGTGCATGCTCCATCAATTCAATTTGAAGCGACTGATTGACAACAGTTTGGGAAGGGCGATGATTTTTTTTTTTCCCCTCACTCTTGACTGTAATGAACAAGCAGTTGATGATACTAACAATATATTTATGGGACTCGGACTTTAACGAGGTAAAAAGGAATTGTTCCTTTCCATGACTAACCTCAAATACTATGATGAAGGCCAGCCGCGCTGCCAGGACATGCCAGAACTGCAAAGTGAATTCATATGGAGTTGAACTCCATGGTGGGGCTCTGTAATCTCTATACCTGTAAAGCAAAGAAAAGCCCAGTAAGTTGGCCTGTGCTGAGAAACCTGAACGCAGCGAAGAGCTCTCTAGCTTATCCCAGATCTGAGTAAAAGGAAAGAAACTGAAGTGAAAGAATACTTCAAGAGGAATTAAACAAGAAAGGAGAAGAATAGTCCACAATACAGGCAATTAAATACGGCTGCTTATAAGATCGCACTTTTTGCTTCCAGAAAATCCAGAGCAAACAGTTTCTTTTGTTGTTACAAAGTTGACGCCTTGGAGTGTTAAGTTCAAGTGTGTTGACTCTAAATTGGTTCTTGTCTTTGCTTATAAGCATTTGAGATTCTCCAGACAAAGTTTGCACAAATGTAACACGATTCTGTAACTTTTTAGTCCATTCAAGCTAACTCTCACTGTAAAACTAAATCTGAAACCAGAAGGAGTGCACTCATGCAATGTCGTATTTCATTTTTGTGCTGCATCTCTTGTATTCATCTTGCATAACTGTTTGGGATCTCGACCTGCATTAGAGCCGCAACACAAATGTCAATTGTGTATTTCAATTAATAGACCTCAGAATGCTTAACAAAACTGAAATGATACTTTTTACCCTTCTTAGCAGCTGGGGAAACTTCGAAATGAAGTAATTCATAGAGGCATGAAACACATGGCTTGCAAGAGTCTTGGAGAAACTTAGTTTCCAGTGTGTTAGTATTGCATCCTACCACGCAGTGCTTGCACCTGAGACTCCCATGTTGAACAAACTTGAACTCCAATGCTTTTACAGCCAAAAAAAAGAAACTATTCTAGCAGTAATTTAAGCACTGACTTTCAATTTAACGTCTGTATTAAAGTCTATGCCTGTATTACAAGAAGGGAGAGCACTGAAACATACCGGCAGTATCCTGAGTATCCCATCCCAAGTTCACTCAAATCGAATACTGATAAACTGCTGTTGACATACCCTTTTAAGCATCTGAAAGGAAAAGACATAGGGTCAGGACTTTCTTCATAAAGTGGTTATATAGCATAGATCCTATACATAAACATATTCTGCTATCACACATTGTGAGCATACTATTTTACTTGCTTATCAGGACAAAAGCCATTCTAAAATTTTAAGCAGAGGAGCAAAGCTTTATTGGAAAGAAACAAGTAACATGTTTCAGGGATAACACTGTTTAAAAATCTGTTTTCTGTAATTTTCATGTGTTTGCTTCTCATCTACCAGCAGATATAAACCAAAAATTGTTGCGACAGTGTTCTTCACTGTCTCCTAAAATTACTGAACTTAGAAAGATGGCTAGAGAGGCAGAGAGGAGAATGAGAGGAGAATGAGAGGAGAATGTTGCCCTTTCATTGCAGGATCTGCCACCAGTCTTGCAGCATATACCAAAAAAATGACAGTTTTTACGAGTTCAATCAAAGAAGGATTTTCCCCATCAGTAAAATGAATGGTGCATATATACCAAACAGCCATCTTAAAGGTAACAATTTATTTGTATTAGTGACAGAAATCACATAAATACATTGAATTATGACTGTAGGAGTGAAATTTTTGTCTGTTCTTGGAAAACCACATAAGACATCCCATCTTCTTGGAAATCTGTCCTGTAAATTAACACAGGGCCTTCTGAAAAGCAAAGAACATTTAAGAAGAGATGCATCAGGAGTCCTACTATACCTACTGAACCTTCAGGTTTGCTGTGACACCTCAAATCACTACTGGCAAAGGAAGAAATAGAATTACATAGTTCTCTATTAAATGGGTAGTGCACATTAAGCACTAACGTTTTTCTGCTGTTGTCTCTTTTCATCCTACCCTGTGTCATTCTTTTTTTGCCCTTGAATTCTCTCTTCCTGTGACACCACGGGAAGAGTCAATCTCTACTGTGAATCTTTAGAGGTGGAGCAACGAGGGAAGGAAGTGCAGACCCCTGCAGTTTGGGCTGAAGCACAGTCTGTGAATGCAGCGTTACTAGCTTGCTGGACAAGTCTCGATGATTTCACTCTTATCCTTCCTCCTGTGCAATAAAGAACGTAAGTTTTGCTTGTGAGATGCGCTACAGTATTAGAAAGTGATGCTTCCTTTTCACAAGGTAACCCTGATTTCCCTATTAAAAAAAAAAAAAAAAATCAAACAAAAACCCCCTCCAAAGCCACCTGTAGGGCACTGGTCTCCAAATGAAAGAGAGGATCCCCATGAGTACTGTGATCTGTTTTAGATCATTTAAAACATCACGATAGACAGTGGGAAAGGCAGACAGAGCATGGTGGACCCACAGTTCAGACACACCAGTAAGTGTCTGGAGAAAAGCGCAGGAAACCGTCCTGGTGGTGCAAAGACAGGCAAGATACCTTGCTTGAAGCTAAGATACACTATATACGGAGCTGAGCTAAATAGTGTCAAGGCCAATTTTGCTGGAGCTTGGCTGCAAGCGTTTCTGAAGAGAAATGGACAGAGAAGGTTGAGGGTGAACAAGGCTTAGGATAAATAAAGAGTTCGGAAGTGTATATATGTGTGTGGGAGCATGGTGGGAGAAGACAGTCCAAAACTATTGCAGAAAAGAAGAAAAGCTTATCTAGAGAAAGCCTGAAAACTGCTCCAATGTATATTGAACTTTGTTGTTTGCCTTCAGGTGGGAAGACGTGATTTTCCACTTCTATAACTATGGAGTTAGTTTGCAAACTCTCTGGCTGAGTTACTTCCACTTAACATCTGTGAAGGTTTGCACAGATGTAAAAGGTAAAATGCGTGTTAAGTATGTTAACACAGAAAGACAGTAGCAAAAGTGTGTTTCCACTGAAATATACACATATACATAAAGAATATCTTAATTACTTTTCTTGTCTGTATCCTTGATCTGTACAGGGACCGTATTTGTATGCATAGACAAAACGTGGAATGTAATCAGAAGTAATGGCAATAACAAAGGCATTGGTGATGACAGCCAGAACACCGATTCCTTCCAGAATCCCATACCAGATACCTAGAAACAAGAGAATTGACAGCAAAGTCATGAGTTTTAAACAGTCATATTAAATTATATAAAATCATACGAGTGACATTAAAGTCATTATTAGCCATACGGTTTTCCTTTCTTATTGAGAAAGAATTATTCCGTCAGAAAAGCTAGTCAAGATTAAGCCATGTTCCCACATTCCTGCCACCACCGTCTCCACCCGAGTGAAATCTTACAGTAGGGCACACCCTGCTGAGAAGAGTGAGCTAAGCAACAAAGGTATAACCATAATCTTTGGTTATAAAGGCAAAATGCAAGATTTTGGAAAGAGATTTCTTATTTTTATTTAACTGAGTTTTAAACCAAAAGTGAATTTAGTCCTTATATTTAAATTTTAAATTCAGTTGATTTTGGATAGCATTTTAGACCTGGACTTCCACAAATCAGAAGCCTAAACCACAATATATTTAGCCTGTTTTCAAAATTCCAACTACTATGATCCCTTACTGGAGATGGAAAGCAAATTTGAGGCGTCCTCTTAGCTAAGCAACTGAGTATGCTCCCGCTGCTTAACAGAAGAGTTGTCATTGAGATCTGTAGGTTACATGATCAATTTCACTCTTGGTGCATGAAATATTTCAGGGGTTAAGCTACATGAAAGAAGGAAACACAAAGAGACGGTACCTGACAGCGACAGTCATTAGGTTCTCTCACCTATATCTGTTGCTCTTGCAGGCATCGGTCTTCGCCACTGAGTGACAAACTTGTACGCATCTAATCTTATTTCTATGATGTTGTTAAGCAGTGCCAGGAGAGGTGCCAGTGGGAAGGCAGCAACGAAGATGGTGGTAAAGCCAAACTGTAAAACTAGACAGGCATTTCAATGGTTAGAAACTGGAAACACAAAAGATCATTTAACGTGCAAGCTAGTTCCAGTTTGTTAAGAAAACTGACATCTCCCTAAATTTGCTCACCCATCTCTAAGTATTCATCCATTAAACCATGGAGATTCATAGGCTGCAGATTCCAATCTTTTTCCCACTGAGGTAGAGAAATTTTATGCTCCATTAATTGCCCTCCTCTCTTCATTTTGCGTCGTGACCACCAATTCTGTAATAAACTTTATTAGATAAACAGAGCATTATTGAATGTACTTGTTTGGTAATTTACAATACTTGCTAGTATTGTTAAGAAGTAAGTAGGCCTACTTTGAATAGCATCTGAGTGTTTCCTTAGGTTTTTTCTGGAAATATTTACAATATCATATAAGATACAATTCAAAGAACTTCCAAAGTTCTCAATTCTGCATTATGATTTTAATTACATCTTTAATGTGGCATGTTAAGCATTGTACAAATAAGCTTTTTGGAATATGGAATTTGCTTGCATAGACTTTTTTGGTAGGATTTACCTGCATGCCTAAATAAAAAAAACAGGAAAAAAATCATGCATAGTGAGAAGTAAATAGTGCTTTATTTTTAATCATATAAAAGACAACCCAAATAAGTGGAGCTCAGTAAGAAGTCTATGATACTAGAATATATTGAATAGTAGAATATGTCTACCATTCTTTGAACAAACCTACAGCTCTAGATGCTCTACGGAATATTTTGTTCTTGAAGCAGGAAAAAATGTCTAGAGGTGTTGCTGAAGCTGCAAATATTTAAGGCTATTTTTCATAAAAGTGTGCAGAGGTCCTTTCACAAAGTAATTATAAATATTAAGTAGGTAATAGCCTCACAAATTAAAGTGTTATACAAATGAAAAATATTATCCAGTACTGACACAGGTGGCTATTTAAGGCTATTATTTGTTTCTAGATGTAACAGAAAAGAGATTGAAGATATAATAAGATATAAGAAATACTTTTCTTACAATTATTTTTTTTATTAACAGGCACAGGCTGCTATTTTTTCTCAAGCTAATATGGTGTTTACCTCTCGATGTCTCTTGATACTGAAAGGCCTCAGTTGCAAACAATGGTTTTGGCAAAACAAAACACTGCTTTCCATAAAGGGCTGTAAGCATGGTCCCAAACAAATTCTAGACAAATTTTAGATGCTGCTAGGCCACAACAGGAAGCCTGATAGTTCAAGTAGGTTTCTTCTTGTCAGATATCCACGTCTCGCATCAATACAGGGCACTGCACCTCACTTGCAGAACGATTGCACATGGTGAGCATGAGAACCCTTTCTGACATATTTTCAAGGCTGAGACTTTGATTAAATTAATATTTGACAAACAACCTTTTACTGAAAACATATTCTTCCAGTTTCAAGAGCACTGTAAGACTCCTAGCCCATTACTCTCTGAGTAACGTTCACTAGCTGAACAGCTCTGTTTGTATTATGGAAAAGAAAACCACAATAAACAATTTCGATGGCTAACCTACCCTGAGAAGCTTTATCTTGGAGCAGCAGTTAATGCTTCCCTTGGGAATAAAGTTACACTATGAGAGATGCACAAAGTGGAAACATTCTCCAAACATGTATTGTACTTGAAATAGTTATTTTGGCACAAGTGGACTATTTGTGCCCTTTGCTTCTCCTAGCACATAGAACGTAGACCCAGTTAGGTATTTAACAACTGTATTTTTAGGCCTCAGAGCTAGTACTGAACACAAGCCTTGTGTAAGCACTAGTAGCAAGTCCTCCTCACCCTTCAGGGGAAGGTAGAAAATCAGCACTCATGATTAGGTTTTGAGTGATAACATACAACATGTACACCTGCTGAAGTATCCCATTTTATGTGCTTATGAGCATATACTTCCAGAGATCAGAATTTCAGGTGTTCATTGTCTTCATAAATGAATGATGATGAAGATAATGAATTTCAATTAATGATGAAATTGTGCCCTCCACTCAAATGAAAAAATATTTTTCTCTGTCACTGAATCACATTAATACATAATCAGTGTTTGTAAAACAAATTTTAACATTTGAACTTACGGATATCCTAGTTCCATGAAGTTGTTCCACATTTGTTTTAAAACCATAATAACTCCCATTTGCAAACACAGATCTATCAAGCAACCACTAGGATGACACTGAAATGAAATGCAAAAAGATCAGTAGTTAAAATCAGAGAATTCCCTTCATTTTTATTTCTTCACGGGGTGAACGGAAAATACTCATATACGTTTGGTGAAAAACACTAATCTCTGGCTACGGAAATATTAAAAGAAATATTAATAACAGAAGTATTAACACAGACTTTAGTTGAAACACCTTTCAACACACTATTTCTTGGAGAACTCCCTCATATTTCCTAAGCTAAGTGTACGTGTGCTAGATAAATTATAAATGATACAGTCCATTTCACTTAGACCAATACCTATGCATTCATTTCAAAAGAATGGAGCAATATTTCATTTGTAATATCCTAAATCTGAACAGAGACTTAGTAGCTGAATCTCTGCTTGCAGTATCTTAACTATACAAATTCCCATATTAAAATGTTTAGTAATTACAAAACCTTTTTTTTAGACCACAGAATACAAAGTTATGGTATTTTACTCTGCAGCTACCAAGGTTCAACAGAAGAAACCTTACTCAGAGATAACTTCAGCATGCTAGTTATACCAAAGGAGGTGAAATTTTAACTAATTTTCAAGCTACATTTTGAAAATATTATTTTTCTTCCTTTAAATCAGTATTTTCACACTGGCAGAAATTTAAGAAGCTGATAAAAAAACCTGATGGCATTATATTTATGTCCTCCATCCAAAAATTCCACAGACCCAGGAGATACCGATCATGTAGGAGTCTGTAGTGCCTGTGAGGTAAGGGACTATCGCTGTTTGCTTTTCCCAACGAGAGAGGCAGAAAGAACTGTGTGTCTCGGGCAGAGTCACTCAGGACAGTGGAGAATGCAGAAGGAAAAGCACATCTCCTGTTTCCTATCCTCTGCTATAAATAAGAGTTTACTCTTCACTGCATTCAGATGGAATAATAAATCTTTCAAACTGGACATAATTCATGTCCTTCTGCCATTTCCTCTTTACTCATGGAAATTTCACAGGAACACAAAATCAGATTGCTTACCTCTTCCAGTCTCCATCTGTTAAAAAGCTTGTTGTACTTTCCCGGGCGGCCTGCAAATCTGGAAAATAAGATTTCTGTTTCTCAGTGGACAGTCCCAGAACACCCTGTATCAGTAGTTATTTCACAACATCCACTGAGCAAACTCATGAAATATAAACAGATTAAATCACACAGGCTTAAATCTGGTATCTGTAGGATATGGTAGTTTGAGAATGCAAACAAGGCCCATCATTTTGCAAACGATCCTAAGCTTTTATTATGTCCAGAACAAAAATCCTAGCTTCAGAGGTTTTAGATGTTAGATATTCAGACTCTCTAATCTACTTCTAAGAAGATAAGCCATTGCAATACGTAGAAATTTACTGCAGCACAGGGTCTGCATGCGTGCACTGGATTGCACCCTCAGACATGGATACAGCGGCAGAAAATAATTTCCAAACCCATCACAAGTAAATGCTTTTTACAGATCTAACAGATTCTTGTATAACAAACTGAACCAATATTCTTAATTGCCTCAGTGAAAGTTATCTATGAGAGAGAACAAAACCCCATGCCTGGTCCTACCAGACACAGGAGATAGCAAGATACAAAGTAGTTTAGAAACTGTATGGAAAAAGCATCACTGGATGTAACAAGCAGATATTACTAACAGTCTTCACTAGAGGGTTTTTTTTCTTTTACACAATCTTGAACTGAAATGATACTATAAAACTTTGTAGGAGGTACTGTGAAATATTCTGGAGGTTCTGCACGAACGATAAGTCTGATCATACCGAAACTGAAGTGAAGATGAAGCAAGATTAGACCTGTCCAGTACCTCATGCTCTGAGGTACACACAAAAACCGGAGCCAGAATTTCTGACTCCTACTCTTGTATAAAACCTGCCAAACAATATTTACTATTTACAGAAATACAGCCTGGGAAATGTAACCAAAGGGGAATAAACAAGAAAAAAATGAATAAAGTCTATCAGTGCAGGGCTAATTACAGACCTGCGTTTAGGAAGTGGCTGTATTTTCAGAGGTTCTGAATTCTCACTTAGTAAGAAAGTCACGCACATAGACCCACTCTAAAAAGTAGACTCTTTACTGCCTAGTTTCATGAATAAAGATTTCAAGGGTCCAACCTTCACATACAGTTAAAAACATTAATTTTGCCTTATTAATTATCCTCAGAAACTGACTTGCACCTAAACCTGGCAGGTCAAACTGTCACTGTGTTTTCTTTAAACCTACAAAATTAGCAAGGTTTATGAGTTCTGTGCAAGTTTTCCC